TTTTAGTAGAGACGGGGTTTCACCATGTTGACCAGGATGGTCTCGATCTCTTGACCTCGTGATCCACCTGCCTTGGCCTCCCGAAGTGCTGGGATTACAGGCTTGAGCCACCGCGCCCGGCCGATTTTTTGTTTGTTTGTTTGTTTTTTGAGACATAGTCTCCCGCTGTCACCTGGCTGGAGTGCAGTGGTGCAATCTCAGCTCACTGCAACTTCTGCCTCCCAGATTCAAGCGATTATCCTGCCTCAGCCTCCGGAGTAGCAGGAACTACAGGCACGTGCCACCATGCCCAGCTATTTTTTTATTTTTAATAGAGATGGGTTTCACCATGTTGACCAAGATGTTCTCAATCTCCTGACCTCATGATCCACCTGCCTCAGCCTCCCAAAGCGTTGGGACTATAGGCGTGAGCCACCATGCTTGGCCTGAGATTGTGTAATTTATAAAGGAAAGAAATTACTGGACTCACAGTTCCACATGGCTGGGGAGGCTTCACAATCATGGCAAAAGATGAAGGAAGACCAAAGGCATGCCTTACATGGTGGCAGGCAGGAGAGCATGTGCAGGGAACTCCCCTTTGTAAAACCATGAGATCTCCTGAGACTTATTCACTAACACGAGAACAACACTATCACAAGAATAGGAAAAACCCACCCCTATGATTCACTTACCTCCCACTGGGTTCCTTCCACAACGTGTAGAGATTATTACAATTCAAAGTGAGATTTTGGTGGGGACACAGAGCCAATCCGTATCAATGAGTATTATTTAATTATATTCCTTTTCACTTTACCTAAAAATTCAGGACCAAATTTATGATTCAATAATATAAGCCCTATAGGGTTTTATAGTCGTTTTGTCACTAATCCTAGTTTCATTCTATTTTAGCTTATATTGTTCTTTATCTTGATTTTCATTATTTATGATTTGCATTTTACTATTTGATTATATGTATTTCCTGTAAGCTGCCACAAATTATTTGTGTAATGAGGCAGAATATAAATATATGAAGTAATAATTGGACGTGAAGACTAAACTGAAAAGTTTAGATTTTAAATGCAAGGAATGGGAATGCATTGGATTTGAAGGGCAAGGGAAAGGAAGAGTAAAAGATGTCTACAAGGTTTGAGTCTATGCCAATAAAAAATACCATAACAGAATATGAATATAAATAAGAAGAAAAGCAAATTGGGGGTATAAGATGATTAGTATTGAACAATAGTTTTATATGACAGAAGATCGTTTGACTGGAGATGTCAAGCAGGCAGTTGAAATCACAGGATTACATTTGGATATGAAAATTTACTTTACATTGGTTTGGACTTGAAATGAAGAGGGTTAACAGTTAAGACCAAAAGCATATGCAATATTTTCTAAGAGAAGAGAGTAGAGAAAGTAAAGAAATCTAAGTAACACTTTATTACTTTCATTTATTAAAGATATGTAGAAAAAGAAGTCAGGAAAAGTGGGTGCAGAGGTAGGTAAGAGAGCAATTTATAATGCTAGAGTGTCTGCGACATAAATAAACTTTAGCAATGGCATAGTCCAAATCCTTTATGTATGAACACAAGGAACTCTAGAGAAGTTACATGACTTCTTCCAAGCTACATGACTCTTTAATGGTAAATCATGGGTAGCTGAGCCTCACTCTCTGTCCAACACTCTCTAGACATATAGTTACATTGCCTTCTTTTGGAGTAGAAACCAAGGGAGGACATAGATTAGGAAGAACCAAAGAGCAATTTGGGTAGTTGTGTTTTCATTTTATCTTTTGTTCCCACATGCTTTTATTTGGAAAAGATTATTTTTTGCATTAAGGATACATACTCTTAATTTAGATATGAAGCTTTAATGGAGTAGAGAAAAAGAAGGGAGTTTGAGTAAAAGTAGATCAAATGACTTACCATTTTTATTTAGATCAAGTTCAAGCCATTTGTCTGAAATAGAATGCCAAACAATAGCCATTGGGCCAAATGTGGCCTGCCACCTATTTTTGTAAATAAAATTTTGTTAGAACACATCTATGATTGTTTGTTTATATATAGTCTATGACTGCTTTCACACCACAGTGGCAAAATTAAATAGTTGTAACAGAGAAGCTATTGTTCCCAAAGGCTAAAATACTGACTGACTCTTTACAGGAAAACTGTAGAAAACATTTGCCAACCCTTGATTTAGGACACTAATCATATGTTGCTTGTATGATTATGAAAAACACAAAACCAATGGTATTTCTAAGGATGAATTAATGTGTTTTTAAAACTTATTTTGAGATTTTATTATTGAGAATTCAACAAGAGAAGCAGAACTATTAAGATAGATCTACATATAGAGATATCTATGTCTATATAGAGAGATATAAATATCAAGGAATACTTAATAATTGAGAGAACTGCCTAAACAAGTGTGAGGTCCATAGGACAGGCCATCAGGAATGGAAGATTATGGGCAGGCATAGATGAAAGCTGTTGTCTATGAGTGGATTTTCTTCAGGAAAATTCTTTCTTCCAGGATGTCTCACCTCTGCTTTTAAAGGCTTGCAATTGTTTGAATAAGGCCCATCCAGATTATTCAAGATGATCTCCTTATTGAAAGTCAACTGAGTAGGAGCTTTAATTATGTCTACAAAATTCCTTCACAGCAATACCTAGATCATTTGCTAAAATAACTGGGAACTCTAGCCTCAAATATTTTGCAGCTCTGTTGTTGGTGCATACATGTATAAGATTGTTATGTCTTCTTAGTGGACTGACCCTTTTATCAGTAGATAATGGCCTCTCTGACTCTGGTAATTTCCTTTGCTTCAAAGTTTACTCCATCTGAGGTTAATGAAGCCACTCCTGCTTTCTTTTGAATAATGTTTAGGATATCTTTTTCCATTGTTTTACTTTCAACCTGCATATATTATTATATTTGAAGTGAGTTTCTTGTTGACAGCATACAATTGGATCATGTTCCTTTATCTGCTGCTAATTTTTATCCTTTAATTGATGAACAAAGACCATTTATATTTCATATAGTAAATTGACCTGTTAGGGTTTAAGTCTACCATTTTGTTTTCTTATTTTATATTTGTTTCCTTTGTTTATCTTTCTTCTGTTTTCTTTTTTGGTGCCTTCCTATGGGCTTCTTGAACATATTTTGGACTTCTATTTTTATTTGCTCATAGTGTTTTTTAGCATATCTCTTCATATAGTTTTTTTAAGTGGTTGTTGTATTACAATGTATATACATAACTTATTATAGTCTGTTAGTGTTGACATTTTACCAGTTTGAGTAAAGTGTAGAAATGTTACTTTCCTTTCAGTCTATTTCTCCTCCCCTGTTTATATTTGAATTAAATATTTTCATTATATACATTGAGAACTAATGAGACAATATTATAATTTTTTTCATTGATCAATCAAAGATAACCTAGAAAAATCGAGAAGGGAAGTTTATTAATACTCTTTCCATTGTGCTTTCCTTTCTCTTGGCATTCCAAGATTTCTTTTCTTTCTTTCCATTTCAAGAACTTCCTTTAGTCGTTTCTTAGGGTAGGTCTGCTGGTAACAGCTTGCTTAGTTTTCCTTCCTCTGAGAATGCCTTGATTTCTCTTTTTATTTCTGAATGATATTTTCTCTGGGTATAGAATTCTGGGTTGATGTTTCTCTTTCACCACTTGAAAAATATTGTGCCACATACTCCAGTTTCCATGGTTTCTGATTAGAAATCTGTCATTCACATTGTTTTTCCCTTATAAGTAAGATTTAATTCCTCTGTCACTGTTTTCATGACTTTTTTCTCTGTCATTAGTTTTCAGAAATTTGATTCTGATTATTCTTATATGTCCTTGCATGGACTTAGGTTTTTTTTTTTTTTTCCTGTCTGAGGTTTACTTAGCTTCTTACTTAGCTTCTTGGTTTATGTCTTTTGCCAAATTTGGAAGCTTTTTGGTTATAATTTCTTCAAATGCTTTTTCAGCCCCACACTGTTTCTCTTTTTTTCTGTGAATCCAGTGATACTAATATTAAACCTTTTGTATGGTTCCACAAGTACAGGATATTTCCATCTTGGTAAAGTGGGGCTCATTTATTTATGGGTTTATTTTCTCTCTTTTGTTCATAATGGGTAATTTCTATTGTTCTGTCTTCAGGTTCAGTGATTCTTTTCTCTTTTCTCTCCACTCTGCTATTGAGTCCCTATCCAATGAATTTATTTGTTTATAGGATTTTTTAAATTCTAAACTTTTCATTTCATTCTTCATATCTTCTGTTGCTTTGCTATCACTTATCTCTTTGCTAAGGGTTTCAATTTTTTCATTTGTTTCAAGTATGTTCATGATTGCTTGTTAAAGCATTTTTACTTTGCTTTGAAATACTTGTCAGACAATTAAAACTATTTGTGTCATTTCAGAATTGGCATCTGCTGATTGTCTTTTCACATTCAAGTTGAGATGTTCTTGTTTCTTGGCATGACATATTTTTTATTTTATTCTGGACATTTTGGGTATTTTCTGGATCTTATTTAAATCTATTTTAGCAAGCCTCCCTTGACACTGTACCAGTGAGAAGATGACAGGAGCCACTTTGTTGCTGTGAGTTGCAAGACAGAAGTCCAAGTTCCTCCATTTGGCCTCTGTTGACAACCTGGAGGTGTGTACTTCATTAACTGCTAGGCTATAGTAGGAGTTCATGCTCCCCACCAGGCCCCATTAATTTAGTCTGGCTGGGAGGTAAGGAACTCCGTGTTACTATTTCCCACAAGCCTCCACTGATTCATCCTGGCTAGAAGAGACAGGAATTCCTAATTGATGCTCCACAGATAACTCATTATTACTGGGTGGAAGTGGGAATCCAGGCTCCCCATGTTATCTACAATAATACTTGTATGTACAGGGTGGCGAAGTGTGTTACTGCTGAAGGTGGATGAAAGTCCAGGTTCCCACTCAGCAGGTAGATGATGGAGAAGTGCCTTGTTACAGATATGCACTGATGAAAGTCTAAGTAGTCCATTCTGCTTTTACTGATGGGCATGAAGTTGGGGCTACAGTTTATTCTGTAGGGTTTAGCAGAAGTAGGCTTGTTATTGTCTAAAGTTTTCTGCTGTGCTAGGCTTCCCCTTTCCTGATCCTTTGACTGAAGAGAGCAGGATTTTTGTGGACTTTGTCTGTTTTTTTTCTTATTGTCATTTCTGAGTTTCTAGCTTCTCCACCAGCCAGTAGAGATTATGAAGCAAAGAAAATCCAGGGTGTCATTCCTCAGGTCCTAAGGTACCTACCTGGTCTTCTTCTCCACATCTTTCAGTATTCTTATGTTTGGTTTTAATTTTTTTAATTAAAAAATTTTTTTAGAGACAGAGTCTCACTCCGTCACCCAGACTGGAAGCCAGTGGCATGATCATAGCTCACTGCAGCCTCTGAACTCCTGTGCACAAGACATCCTCTGGCCTCAGCCTCCCACATAGCTATGACTACAGGCATGCGCCACTGTACTTAACTAATTGTTTTTTATTTTTAGTAGAGACAGGGTCTCACTTTGTTGCCCAGGTTCATCTTGAACCCCTGGATTCAAGCAATCCTCCCACCTTGGCCTCCCAATATGCTAGGATTATATGTGTTAGCCACCTTGCCCTGCCTTATGTTTGTTTCATATATAATGTACAGGATTTAGCTCTACTTAGTAGGAGGAATTGGGAGAAATGAGTCCACTGAACTTTTACCTGAAACCAGAGAACTATGTGATTTAGTCATCTATAAGACAAGACATCATTTTCTAAATGTCTTCATATAGGAACCACCAGAGACTGAGAGTGCAAAAGATTTGTTTGGTGGTAGACTTACTTCTGACATGATTGCAGAACAACAAGGACATTCCAACTTCACCCAAATGCAAGAACTAAATTGGACTTCATCATCCATTAGGTACAATCATTTTATTATATGCCTTTTTATTATAATTAAATTATATAATTATCATTTTTCTGAAGCATATACCTTTATATATCTTATCTAAATATAATCAATTCATAAAATTATCTACTCTAATGCAAAGGTTCATGCTAAGTAATTAGCATTTTCTGAGGCGTGGTCTCAAAAAATGGCTCACTGCAGCTTCAACCTTGCAGATTCAATCTATCCTCCTCCTACAGGCATGTGTCATCAAGCATGGCTAATTTTCTTTGTATTTTTTGTGGAGACAGCATTTATGCCATGTTTCCAGGCTGGTTTCCAATCGTGAGCTCAAGTGATTGACCTGCCTCAGTCTCCCAAAGTGCTGGAATTTCAGGTGTGAGCCACTGTGCCCAGCCTAAAATGTAAAATTCCTTTGTATAATATAAAAAACCCTTTATTACCTGTCCATTATCTCTTGTAGTCCTTTTCTTTACTGCCCATGACACTTATATTTCAGAAATTCTGAAATATTCTAGTTACTGAATCTCAATCACAAAATGCTCTTTCATGTTTGTTTCTGCCTTTGTTTATACCTGTTGCACTGCCTAGAACTATTTTCTGCTAATTTACTTGACAAATACCTAAAAATCCTCCAAATATCATCTCAAGATCTCTCTCCTCCATGCTTTCATTCTTGACTTTTTAAAATATATTTTCTTTCTCTGAAATGCCATTACATTGGTATGATAGAGATGCTAACTCTATCATAGCAATTCTCCTCTTTATTTTCATTTCTCTGGCTCCCACTTCTTAGGGGCTGAAACATTTCTTTCATCTTTATTGTAGCCTTTCCAAACACATTTTCTGCACTTAGGAAATACTAATGAAAATATGTTGAATGAATAAATGGATGAATGAATAACTTAATGGATAAATGTCATAATTATAATTTCAAGTTTAGGATTTGTTTAGAGAAGTGGTTAGGAAAAGGGATGTAGTTTTATGCTTTTCTCTGTCATGGCTCAAATGATGGTATAGCTATGGACTGGGAAGCAAGAATTTTGTTTAATTACCAAAATGTTCACACAGATGAAATGCCATAAAAGTTTCCAAAAGATCCCACAGAAACTCTACTTTCAAAGACATTACCTGTTTTTCCTTTCCTTTTCCATCCCTAACCACTTCCTGGTATTTCAGAAATGACCTACTTCTCATATATCATCTGAAATTCATAACCTGAAAATCTTATGATTTACTATATCAATTTCACTATCATTTCATGAACATATATGTGAATTTATAAAGACAGTAGAA